GCCGGACGCGCGGCGGGCGGGCGGCGCGCTCACCTGTACTGGTCGTACTTGGCGTACTTGGCCCACTCGGCGGGGTCGCTCTCGTAGGCTTCCATGACGGCCTGCACCTCCTCCACGTTGATCTCGTCGCGGGCGAAGAGCTGGTGCAGGATGCGGATGAGGTCGGCGAGCGTCCGCGGCTTGAGCACCTCGGTCTGCTCCATCCTTCGCAGAGGGGGCGGCGCGCCTCTCACGGCTGGGCTTCGGCGAAGGGGCTGAGCGAGCCTAGGACCGGGGACGAGGGACCCCAGCTGCCAGCTAGACAGCTACACACAAAGCCCCCCGATGCTTGAGAGCCAGTTCAAAGGACCCCTGACCAAGCTACCAAGAGGCACCCCCACCAGGGCGCGAAGGACCTGGGATCGCGGAGAACGCGCGACGCTCGCAGACCAGGACCAAAGCTGCGGGGCTTAGCCTCGCGGGCGCTTTTTAAGCTCTCCGAGTCAGCGGGAATGTACCAATGGCCCCGGGAGGGTGGGGAGAGGCGGGGTGCGACCTGAGAAAGGTGGCGGCGGGAACGTGCGGCCGAGGCTCACGCACTTGGCGTCAGCCCCGCGGGAGCCCGTCCCTCCCTAACCCCGCACTCGCGGCGGCTGCGCGGTCTCCCCCCGCCTTAACGGGGCGCGTTTTGGCCGCTCATCCCCACCCGTCTCCCCGCGCCCCTCCGCCGCCGTTCCCCGTGGCTCCTTTTGGCTGCAGAGGTTCGAGACCCTGGGAAGTAGACCGCGGGGGCCGGGAGGCGGCGACTGGGGGTGCATGCTGAGGAAGACGGGGGCCCTTCCCTTCAAAGAGCGGAGGAATTGTGAAGAGCTTGCGAAGGCTGAGGGATTCCACTCCCAAGATGGAGATCCGTTTTGGTCGACTGAAACTGTACATAATATGCTCCAGGCTAGCTGAAAATAAGTCTAAGTCTTCCTTTAAAAATTAAAACAAACAAAAAAACCCTTTACTGAATTTATTGGCGTGACATTGCTTTCAGGTGTACAGTTCTATCACACGTCACCTGTGCGTTGTGTACTGTACTGAAAGCATTTTGACAAAGGAGACTGGTCCGTGGAGGAAGGCCAGGCATCTCTGACTTTGAAATCAAACATTACCTAAAAATTATTCAGTGCAAAGACCTGATGTTTCAATTCATGGTGAAAGGAAGTGCTGTGTGGTTTTTGTGTTTTTCCTCCCAATGCAGTAAAGGGTTCTAATTCTGCTATTTAAATCCTTTATTTCTAGGCGTGTGCTTGAAGGAGTCTACTGGTAATCCACAGAAGGAAGTGCATTTGTGTGTTGTGCACAGCACTTAGCATGCTTTGAGAACAAGGCAAATTAAGTATGAATGAAAATAAGAAAAATGTGAGGTACAGAAGAAATGCAAGGGTAGATTCCTTCTTTCTCATTAACGGATCCAGGGAATAATTTGGATTCAAGGTTATTAAAGTCTATACTCCTGGAAAACTAGTCTTTCTATATACGAGAGTGGGCAAAAATAGGTTTACAGTTGTGAGTACTTGAAACATTCGTATAGTTTGTATTCTTATTTTGTATCCTTACTTATGATTTATCTTTTAGGTAATTATGGCTGGTAATTTAACCTATTTTTGCCCACCTGTTTGTATGTGTATATATAATGTATAAATTTACTTGTGCTAACAATGTTCTTTAGGAAGAACAAATGACAGCTCAAAATCACCATTGTTCAGAAAGGTCTTTGGGTGGAAAGCACACCAGAAGCCAACCTTTTGTGATATGTCGCAAGTAGAGGCTCTAGTAACATAAGTGGAATACCTAGATCCAGAGAGGTGGTAGTTTTACTGCACTCTGCATTGCTCAGGGCAACCATTTAAACATTTTTAGACACTGACATGGGGCAGATATCCAGAGAAGGGAACCAGAATTAGAGGTCTGGAAATATACATCTACCTATCCATTCAACACAATTTAAAAATCACGTACTACATGCCAGGCCCTGCTCACAAAACTCTCTGCCCTTAGAGGGCTTATGTTTTAATTGGGGGGGGGGGGCACAGTAT